ATCAATTGAGGGAAGATAAAAAGAACACAATGTAATTTTGGAACTGACCAGAGAGAGCACAACAGTTGTCTCCAGTGTTGTGTATTGCTGTGTGACAGCGGCAATGGAATCCCCACACCTAGCTACATCTTGACAAACTGGCTGCAATAAACTCCGGGATTACATGGCACAGACTAAACTATGGAGGTGGCAATACTTGTGTAAAATACAAACTGGAGATGACAGTGGAGTCCTGTAGCTCAGTGGTTAGAGCACTCGCTTTGCAAGTGAGAGACCTGAGTTCAATTCCAGGCAGGGCGAAACCTTGGGCAAGTTTCCTTACTCCACACAGAGCCTAATAATAATCCTCCAAAACCCCAAACAATAATAAATTGGTCATTTTTAATCCATATGACTGTTTGTGGGACATTGCTGTGCGCAATTGGCTGCCGCGTTCGCCCACAAATATACAGTCAATTCACTTTACAGTGTGTTCTGTGAAGCGTTTTGGGACGTCCTCCCGACGTGAAAAGCGCTATATCAAATGCAAGGATTATCATAGTGGGCAAAGAGGAGTGGATGATATAGGGTTGAGTCACATAATGTTACTGCAAATTCTAATGCCTCTATAATGCCAGTGATTTCATATTATTTTTAATCCAATTCAAGAAAATGGATGTGTAAACCACAATACTTTAAAATTTGCTGGAAGTAAATCTCCCAATCCTTGGACTACAGATTTATCAGATGTTTTATCTGATGATTGAAGTATAAAGAGGTTATAAATCTGGAGCTTGTCAGGTGCCATAGCGGAGGTTACACTCACACATTCATCACTGGCCTGTCTAAAAACAACATTTAAATTGCAGAAAACACATAGAAATGTTCAATTAATTGAAGCTGGCTCCATTTGAACTGGCTCACATTGTTTGCTAATTCACAGTGGTTGCTATGGGGACCCAGTCCACTCCCGTTTCCAGGAGCTAGTTGCTAAGTAATTCACTGAATACTTGGAAAACCAAACAATGCTATTCTACCCAAATACATTTGTTACCCCATGTTAACCAAACACCACTTAATATTTCACTCAATGCGCTAAGTACAGTCTAATGCAAAAGTTGCGGGTTCAGAAGTTTCCAACCATTACAATAGCAGGGGCAATCTGCATTTCCAGCATTCATTGTGGATGTGGGCAGGAAGACAGTCGGCCGCGTTTGCAGTGTGTACAGGAAGGCAAAATGACCAACTTGGAAGAACCTAAGTTGCCAGTGACATCACTTCCAGCGCATTCCACAGTCAGCCATTTTGGTGTCCGAGTGCACGGCCGACACTGCGGCCGACACTGCGGCCGACACGACACGGCTCCCCACAATTTGGATTTTGGGGTAATTAATGTTGTGGTCCGCGCAAGGTTATAACAAGGTTCAACTGAATAAACTCAAGGAAGGAAACAAATGCAACTCTTTACAGGGTCAGTCATCTTAACTGAAGACAAGCTTTATCGATGTTTAAATTTAAGACAAAAAAAATCTTATGAAACAGCAATATTTAAACACTTTGGGACATCCTCCTGGCGTAAAAGGTGCTATGTAATAATCTTTGCATTTGATACAGAGCCTTATCACGTCTTTGAGACGTCTCAAAGCACTTCACAGAATATACCTTAAAGTGTAGTTACTGTGTGTTTTGTGAGCGAAATGCGGCAGCCAATTGCACACAGCATTGGTACAGTCTTTGTGTGTTTGTGTCCGTGTGTGAGTCTGTGTGTGCGAGTCTGTAACTGTCAATTTATATTGTATTACATTTTAATGTAGAAAACGATTTAATTAATAAGAACTGCTTAAACCTTAAACTCATTGAGAGACATATTTAATATCCAACGCAGCTAGTTGTCTTTTAAAGGTGAAAGGGCGTTCTGTAACCTGGCAACAACTCATTCCATGCCCTGAGGTGGAGGAATTGCCATTGTCTCCTCTGTGGAGTGACCCAGAGGTGTTTTTTTATGTGAGATATATTTTATGTGCAGTTCCTACACATTTCAAAAACAAATCCTCCAAAGATACTCTTTTAGAAAAGCTTATGATGCCAAACTAAAAATAAAATGTTACTAATCTTAATTCTTATCCTTTGCAACCCAGGTATTCTGATCTAAATTTCCAATTATTTCAGGTACACCCCATTTTAAAAGAATACTAGCAGAGTCCCATTTATACCATTTTTACCAGAGTTCATAAAATTATAAGAATTATAACAGGGTGCAGCCACTAATCAGCACGTTCTCATTCACTGCTATGCACGCAGAAAGCCACCTCATTGCAAAACGTGGTTTTTCATGCATAAAAAATGGCCAACTTCTGAGTATTCAGGTCATCATAACCTCCTGTGCAGGTGATGTCAGTGGGAACTTGATGACCTGGAAGTCGGTTATTTTCAGCATGAAAACATTGTCAGCCAGTTTTGTGCACATATTTTGGAATTTTGTTAAGTGAATATCAGGGTCCATAAACCATATAAGAGAACCCACACTATAATGAAGCATATTATAATGAGATTCTAGTATACTGTATAGATGTCAGCTACCAATCTAGGATAGTCAGTCAGATAGTAACATCACAGGACACAAGACACAGTATCACAGAGCAGCACGGCAGCGGAACAGAACAGCCCAGAAAATATACAGTCAATTGCTTTACAGTATATTCTGTGAAGCGCTTTGAGACATCTCGAAGACATGATAAGGCGCTATATCAAATCCAAGGATTATTATTATTATAATTGCTCCGAGACGTATCACCAACTGCAACTTAAAAGTGTAGTCATGAGGGAGACAACTTATATAGTGATTATGTTTTGAAGTACACTTATGTAAATCGGTTTTGTGTAAATATAATTAACAACAATTTGCACTTATATATTACTTTCCAAGTAGGGAGAATGTCTCAAAATGTTTTACAAAGATGGAGTAGGAGCCTGAGCTGGGAAGGAGGCAAGAGGAGGTCAAAGCAATAGATCTTGAATGCAGAGAGATTGGAGGCAAGGTGGAGAGATAATAGAAATAGTTCTAGAGGGAGAAGGCAAAGTAGAAAAGTAGAAAGCTCATCACATGTCTCTAGTGGAAGTGTAGAATATAAACATCATGGATAGGTTGGGCTGCATGGTCCATTTCCATGCTGTCTGTTCTTTGTAAATCTGCCGCTTATGTGCAGAGGAAACATGAAGCAGGCCAGAGCTTTTTGGTGCACCCCCACCCATTGTACATGAGAATCCTGAGCCCTTTCAGGGAGTCAGTCCGCCACTGAAGATGAGGATCTTAACGTTGAGTTTTGGATGATCTAGAGCTTATTAGAGGGTAGAGCTATGGTAGCTAATTTGGTTAGTTCAGAGGAGCTCAATCAGATTTGCCAAATAAAATAGCTAAACAGCAACAATGGTGGTATGGTTGAGAAGTCAACAGTAGCTTGTATTTTATAGGACACTCCACAACGACAGGGTCGGAGGCTGAGCATGGAAGAGGGAAGGGGAAATGACAATATGTGTGGTAGATATTTGCGTGGGATTTTAATATATTATAGATGGAAGCAAGAGTGAGGGGTAGAGGGAGGGAGTTCCAGAGACTATAGCCAGAGTAGCTGGAGCCTCAGCCACTGGAGGACACAAGGCAGGCCAAGTGGAGTGAGCGAGCAGAGACGTAGAGTAGAAGATGAGAGGTAGGGAGGTGCTAGGTCATGAAGAGAATTTTAAGTGAGGGTAATTATTGCTTGTTCAATTATTGCTGTGAAAGAGCACAGAACATGGGATATTCACTTAAAACAGAATTTCAATTCACTAATTAATTATATTCAATTGAACATGAAAATGCTAGGAATTCATCCTGCAGAACTTCTTTGCAAACCCATGTCACAACATGCTTTTTCTTTGGCAAATATCCAGGGACCCAGAATTTTACAACAACTTGCAATTAGTGTCCACTATGCAGGATTATGCCTCGGAGCACGTAATGTTAAGAGCACGGACACAAGCCATTTGACCCACCACATTTGTGCTATAGTTTTTATAATAATATTCCTTGCATTTGATGTAGTGCCTTATCATGTCGATGAACCGTCTTAAAGCGCTTTGCAGGATATACTGTAAAGTACATAGACTGTATTCTGTGTGCGAAATGCGGCAGCCAGTTTCGTACAGCAATGCCCCACAAGCAACCAGGGAGTGAGTGACCAATTTTCTCCTCATGAGTCACCTAATCTATTCCTATTCTTTGCTCACTTCATATTCCTCCTCCCCAAGCATCTATCTGATTCCCCTTTTAAATAATGATGGTTTGTGGCATAGAATTTCACTTTCCAGATACCTTGTGTGTGTGTGTGTGTGTATACAAAAAAATTCTAACTTTTAAATTCTTTTTTGAATCCTGTCGTTTAGTGGTTAGAGCACTCACCTCGCAAGCGAGAGGACCTGGGTTTGATTCCCGGGCAGGGCAAACCGTTGAGCAAGTTTCCTTACTCCACACGCCTCTGTTTACCTAGCAGTAAATAGGAAGCTAGTTTTCAATTGACTGATTACTTTTCTAGGGGAAACATTCCCTTTTTTAAAAAAAAATTAATTCCTCAATGCACAGCACATTGCTGTGTGCAATTGGCTGCCTCATTTTGACCACAAAATATACGTTCAATTCACTTTACAGCATATTCTGTAATATGCTTTGAGACGTCTAGAAGATGCGAAAAGTGCTTTATCAAATGCAAGGATTATTATATTCAGTGAAGTGCTTTGAGATGTCTCAAAGACGTGATAAGGCGCTATATCAAATGCAAGGGTTATTATTATTATAGAGTTGCCAAGAGCAGAAAATGTTCTTTTACTATTTATCCTATTGTAATCCCTCAGAATCTTGAAAACCTCTATCAGGTCACCGCTTAACCTACCTAGCTCTAGTAGAAAACAAACACTAACTTCTCAGGTTTCTCTTCATAGGAAAATAGGAACAGGAGAAGGCCATTCAGCTCATCAGGTCTGGTCCATCCCTTTCCACCATTCATGCCTGCCTGCTTGCCATTGTAAAGCACTCCAAGACATTATTCTACGTGAAAGGTGCTATATAAATGCAAGTTGTTGTTTATTAGATCTTTGCATATCTTTTAATCCCTTTTGATGTAACCCTTAATACCTCTGCTGTCAAATACTCGGTCTATCTTGCTTTCAAGCATCCCTTTTGATTCAACCCCTGAAGCTTTCTGGGTTGGAGCATTCCACATCTTCACAGCCCTTTGTGTGAAGAAATGTTCCTAACCTCTGTTTTAGATGGCTTGGTTCTGATTTTTAAGGTTCTGCAATACAATTTACATTTATATACTGCCTTTCATAGTGGGGGGATATCCCAAAGCGCTTCCCATTGCTGTCTGAACACCTGAGCCCCGGCTCATAATCATAATGATGATCATTATGCTGAGCCCCTTATATAATGGATTCCTCTAACAAAGGAAAAGTTGTCCACTATCTAACCTGTCAATTCCTTTCATTATTTTAAATACTTCAGTAAATTGCTCCTTAATCTCCTCTGCTGTAAGAAATATAAAGCCTGTTACCATAGCTAAACCTTGTTACCATATCTTAAGCCCCAAGTATTCATCCAATTCATCATTGGACACCCTCCAAATTTAGTATATCCTTCTTAATTTGGGGTTACCCAAAACTGAACAGAATACTCCAAATGAACTCTGACCAGTGCTTTTATAATCAAAACCTCTTGTAATAAATGGCAGCATCCCATTTCCTCTATTGATTGCTTTCTGCACCAGGGAACTAAATTTTAATGATCTGTGAACTTGGACCCTTGATCTCTGCTTATCTCCCTCCTTATGCTTCTCCATTTAGAACTTAGTCCCAACTGTTGTTTTTCCGTTCCAAGTGTACTATCCCCCCACACCACGCAGTATTAAATATGCCATAGTTCCGCCCACTCTTTTAATCTGTCTTTCTCTTTGTATTTTTCACCATTTACAACACTTCCTATCTTAGTGTCATCCACCATCGTAGAAATAGCCCCTTCTTTTATTATATCTCGTTCATTGATGTATAGGATGAAAAGCTGGAGGGAGTCTGCTTGTCACTTCCTGACAATCAGAGAATTAATTCCTTTTGTACAACTCACTGCTCCGATCTCCCAATCACTATCCACAATATTGCCTTCACTCCAGGTGCCTTAATTTTAACTAATATGCTTTTAATATGCTAATTTTAGCTTTTTATGTGACACTTTTATCACATGGTTTCAGAAAATCCATACAATTTACATCCATTGATCAGTGAAATTCCTCATTACTGGTGAATCTGAGTGAATTGCACTTTTTGCATTGGTTTTTGCTTCCTATGATAAGATGCCCAAGTCAAACTTTACTGAATACTCAAACTGTAGCCAAATAAGAGGCACAACCTGCCTCTTAGAAATCTCTGCTGACTCACCCAATTACCTTGCGATTCTCAAAATGCTCAGTAATTTCATCGCATATTATAATAATAATAATCTTTGCATTCTAGACTCTAGTTGATTACCAACAACTGAAGGAACTGACTGTCCTATCCTAGTTTTCCTCTGTTCTGCATTACTGTGTCTGTCTCCCATAGTCTCAATTGAATTTTTTGCCGAATGGCGACCTATTTTTCACTTGAATTTGTTCAGACAGTCTGCCACCATTGCCTTCCTGGGTAGTCTGTTCCACATTGTCCTTGTAAATTAATTGAACCTAAAGTTGTCCCCATCTTGAATTTGAAAACATAAGAGTTTGTGACTATATTAAACATATTAATGTTCAGTTTATGTACATCCTTTAGGAATCTTAAATACTTAAGTGAGATCTCCTCTGTTCTTTCTTATGCACTGTGAACATTCCTAGATTCTGTAGCCTCTCCATGGAATTCTGGAGCCTAATTCCAGCTGTCACAATCTGGTTGCCTTTCATTACCCTGTTTGGATGACTAATACAGCGACCAAAATTGTATGCAGATCGGTGTGACATGTGCACTGTACAACTTCAATATCCTGGGACTTCTGCCTCCAAGATTCTGTTCGATTTATGCATGCTATGTTGATGGTTTCAGCAATCTATCCACAAGTTGTTCCAATCCATAGTAATTTACAGCTCAAAAGAAGGCTATTTTGTTCATTGTGCCTGTGTTGGCTTTTTGAAAGAACAATCCATTCAGTCCCATTTACCTGCCTTTTCCCCATAGCTCTGCAAATGACTCATTTTTAGATATCTATCTAGTTCCCTTTTGAAAGCTAATATGGATTCTGTTTTGACCATAGCCTCTTATCAGGGTATTCCGTATTCTAACAACCCCTCTCCTCTACACTAATACTGGTTTACCTGGAATCCCAATTTAATATTTCTGAATTAGATTATTTTACAATATGTAAATACTGGTATTTTCAATTTGCAAAACGTATTTCTGATCATTTGAATGAAATAATCAGGAAATAGCGTTTGAACAGAAAATTTGATTGTAATAGGTGTAAACACTGCTGTGTGTTTAGTATTAGTCCTTCAAACAACTGTTAACATCTTGTGTTTCCATGTCATATCCATCACATTTTCATCTGCTTTACAATGAATTGTCTCTCTGTCTCCATAGAAACTAGCATGCAGAGCTCAGAAAGTGGCACCGATTCAACCTCCTCTGTGGCCCTGTGCGCAGCCGGTGCTGGTCAGGGGGCTGTGCAGGCTGCAGTGGTGCAGCAAGTGCCAGCCCCACAACAGGTGTGTGCAACTGCTCCCACAGCAAAGTGGGTCTTAATGCAAAAAGTGTGGAACTTAGAGAAACACTCTTGTTAATGTTTTGAATTACTGTAGGACAATCTTCCCCTCCCACTTGTCCACTTCACCCACTTCAATGCTCAGCCTCAGCAAGTCTTTATATGACAATGGTGGTTGGCCGGGTGACACAGGCTGATTGTGTTTTGAAGCTACGGCAGCAGGAACCAGATAGTGGAAGAGGTGGTGGGGTTGGGAGTGCTTATTCCCTCATTCTTAATATGGATTTAATTTTTCCTCTATTGGGTGGGGAGAGAGATCAAGATGTAGAGTATATTTGAGTGTAGAGTTCAGTGAAATATTCGCTAAGGTTGACAATTGTAATTGTTTGTATTTGTGTGTCTCGGCATAGGTGCTTCCATGTGGGTGCTCACATGTTGGGCAGTGAGGCCATTGGGTGTGTTGGTTTGGGCAAGTGTGCCTCTGTGCATGTCTTGTGTCTGCCTCAAAGTGGCTTTGCCTGGCACATTTAAAAGGACACCTCCTTGGCACCTCGCTGCCTTCTGCCTGATGGAGCATGATTAGTAAGGGATAAAGCGCATCCAATGCAATGTGTTGTTTTTTCCTTGTACGGCCCTTGTCAGGAGGCGATGCTTCACCTTGTTTTGTTTTTGGTCACAGAGGCTAGTGGTTCAGGCAACAGCCTCAGCTCAGAAAGGAAGCCAGGTGCAGCAGCTGCAGGTTCAGAGAGTCCAGCAGGTGCCCCAGCAGGTAAGCAAGGTGGTACACCTGTCAGCAGGTGGCACCTGTGGGACTAATCAGCTAGACAGAAATATCCACTTTACATTTTAAGTCACTCTCCATAGCTTTAGTGAAACATGAAGTTGCTCAGAAGTTGTAAAGCTTAATATTAGTTAATTTTCTGAATATTTTAATTTGAATAATAGCAAGCATCTTTAAGATCAAACAGAATATGATTTTGTTGGTGAGTTAAAGTATGTGATTTGTACCTTTAGAATTATTTAAAATTGAGATGGAATATGAGCTCTTGTGTACTTTTAAGTTTATGAATTAATTCTGGATTAATGATAATTTATTTTCTTGATTAGATGCTTTAGGGTTTTGCCATAGTAGGTTTAAAGGAACCTAACATCTACGGAGTCAAACAACCCATTGGTTTCTTTTTAAATCTAACCTTCTTCCTCATTCCAGATATTCCACAGACCTATTACTGAAAGACTTTTGCCACATAAACACGCTAAAGGGTTTGTGCCCCATGACATCTGTAGGGCTTCAGTCTCAATTATGGCTTTTCCCCCTAGTGCAGATTCCCAATATAATCACTAGGTGGCCTCCCTCTTGCTTTAGTTAATTTGAGGTACAGAAAAAATGTTTTACCAGTCAAAAGGGAACTATGTTCTGGTTCTTAATTCTTTAATTTACCCAACATGCCACCTAGCATGCTGGGTAATTACATACCTGCCATACATTCTCGATCAGCGTAGTCCAACATGCGGCACGCGGGCCACCAGTGGCCCAGCGGGGGGTTTATGCGGCCCAGCGGGAGCTTTATGCGGCCCAGCGGGAGCTTTATGCGGCCCGGCGGGGTCTTTATGCGGCCCGGCGGGGTCTTTATGCGGCCCGGCGGGGTCTTTATGCGGCCCGGCGGGGTCTTTATGCGGCCCGGCGGGGTCTTTATGCGGCCCGGCGGGGGTTTATGCGGTAGAGAGACGGTGGGTGACAGAGAGGGGAGAAAGAGAGAGAAAGGGGGAGGGGAAAGAGGAGAGAATGTATGTGTGTGAGAGGGAAGAAAGGGGAAGTGAAAGAGAGATGAGGGAGCGTTTGAGAGACACAGAGCAGAGAGAGTGTGAGAGCGGAGTGTGAGGTGGGAGGAAGTGAATGTGAGGGAGAGGGGGAGAGAAAGGACCAGGGGGGAAATTGAAAGAGGGTGATTGAGAGAGTTTGAGAGGGGATAGAGAGAGAGAGAGTGTATGTGTGGGAGAGAGAAGGGGGGGGAGAGAGAAGGAGGGGGGGGGTGGAGACAGAAGGAGGGGGGGAAGGGAGAAGGAGGTGGGGCGGAGGGAGAAGGAGGTGGGGCGGAGGGAGAAGGAGGGGGGGGAAGAGAGAAGAGGAGGAAAAGAATGATTGAAAGGAGTTGGTGGAGTGTGAGAGAAAAGAAGGGGAGTGAGAGAGAGTCTCTCGCCTCTCCCTCTCTGTCACCACCCCCCCGCTCTCTCTCTCTCTCTCTTCCCCCCACCCCACCTCCCGAGCTCTCCTCACTCTCTCCCCCCCCCCAACCCCCCATTCAGTAGGGAGGGAGGGAGTGGGTTTGGAATGTTGGAAATGTTCTCAGGCTGGATGCGGCCCATGGACCTTCCTCAAATAGGGAATCTGGTCCGCGGCAGCCAAAAGGTTGGATCACCCTGTGCTAGCTAATGACCCGTTTCGCCCGTTGGGCCTCTGTTTATTCACTTTAGGGTTACTAGGCAAAAAATCTAAAACCCGAAGGTGCCATTCCGTTTGTTTTGTGGTTGTAAACAAATTTTCTCCTGACATGTAAGGTGCTCTACAAATGTAATTTGTTATTGTTGTAAACACAGTACGATACAAATTTACATTTATACAATACCTTTAACATCAGGAGAAATTGATAATCCTGATCTGAGGTTCACAAAAGAAGAGGATGCAGCCAATGCCACAGTATCGGAGGAGAGGATAGAGAAATTGGATAAAATAAGAATAAACCGAGAAGAGGTACTAAGAAGGTTGTCGGTGCTCAAGGTGGATAAGTCACCCGGTCCGAATGGGATGCCTCCTCGGTTACTGAGGGAAGTAAGGCTGGAAATAACGGAGGCTCTGGGCACAATCTTTCAATCCTCCTTAGACACTGGGAGGTGCCAGAGGACTGGAGGGCTGCAAATGTTACTCCCCTGTAGAAAAAGGGGCAGAAGGATAAACCCGGGAACTACAGGCCAGTCAGCCAGAGGTCAGTAGTGGGGAAACCTCTGGAGACTATAATTCAGCACAAATTAAATTTTCACTTAGAAAAATATGGGTTAATAAAGGACAGTCAACATGGATTTGTTGAAGGCAAATCATGTCTAACAAACCTAAGTAATGGAGAGGGTGGATGAAGGCAGTGCAGTTGGTGGTTTATTTGGATTTTCAAGAGGCGTTTGATAAAGTGCCACATAAGAGACTTGTAATCAAAATCGAAGCCCACGGTATTAAAGGGACAGTGGCAGCGGGTACAGAACTGGGAGACAGAGAGCAGAGAGCGGTGGTGAACGGTTGTTTTTCTGACTGGAGGGAAGTGCAGTGATGACCCCCAGGGGTCGGTATTGGGACCACTGCTGTTTATGATCTATATAAATGACCTGGACCTGGGTATAGGGAGGACAATTTCCAAGTTTGCAGATGATACTGAGCCAGGAAAGGTAGTAAACAGTGAGGAAGATAGTAGCATATGAACCTGGAGGTTCATATAAGTAAATGTTTGAAGGTGGCGGACAGGTAGATAAAGCTGTTAAAAAAGCATACAGGATACTAGACTTTATAAATAGGGCCACAGAATACAAAATTCAGGAAGTTATGATGAACCTTTATATAAAACACTGGTGAGGCCTCAGCGAGAGACTGTGTTCAGTTCTGGGCCCCACTCTTTAGGAAGAATGTCAAGGCATTGGCGAGGGTGCAAAGGAGATTGACCAGGATGGTACCAGGAATGAGGGCTTCAGTGATCAGGAGAGGCGAGAGAAGTGAGGGTTATTCTCCTTGGAGCAGAGAAGGTTAAGAGGAGACTTAATAGAAGTTTTCAAAATTATGAGGGGATTCAATACAGTGAACAAGGAGAAACTATTTCCACTGGGGGGTGGGTCGGTAACCCGATTTAAAATGGTTGTTAAAAGAAACAGAGGGGAGGTGAGGAGAAATGTTTTCACACAGCGATTGGATCTGGAATGCATTGCCTGAAAGGCTCGTGGCAGCCGATTCGATAACAACTTTTAAGAGAGAAGAAGATAATTATTTGGGGAGGACAAGTTTGCAGGGCTGTGGGGGGAGAGCGGGGGAGTGGGGTTGATCAGGGCTATAGGGAGAGTGGGGGAGTGGGGTTGATCAGGGCTATGGGGTGAGAGTGGGGGAGTGGGGTTGATTAGGGCTATGGGGAGAGGGCGGGGGAGTGGGAATGATTTGGAAGCTCTTTTCAAAGAGCGGCACAGTCACGATGGGCCGAATGGCCGCCTTCTGTGCTGTACAATTCTATGATCTCGCAAATCACTTAACAGTCCTGGCTTGGCACCTGAGCTGTGGCTGGGAGCCGAAGAGAGCAAGGATGCGCTGACAGGAGCCAAGCAGGACAATCTCTTTCTTTTCAATTGAAGAATGTTCATTCAATTGAAGAATGTTCAAGTTCATCCGGGACTTGATGTCTGATACGCAGTTGGTCACAACAGCAGTGGTCATGGAATTGAGGGTGCAAGTGGAGAGATGAATTTGGGTGCTATCGTCTACATGTGGAAGTTAAACCCCATGCCTGTTGATTACATTACCGAGTGGGAGTATATAGAATCTATATTATAGACAGTGAAATGGAGAGGAACGAGTAGAGGCCCTTGAGGAGTGCGAGGGGTGGGAAGAGAAACCATTAGAAGAGATGAACAATATCAACAAATTGTATTTATGTAGCGCCTTTCACATCAGGAGCAAATGGAGATGCTCGGATGGGTGAGAGTGAAACCAGGATAGGATAGAACCATGGAGTTGGAGGTGAAAGGAGAGAACGATTGCATGGTCAACAGTATCAAAGGCAGCAGAGAGAGTCATGGTCACAGATGGAAAGAGTTGTTGGTGACATTACCAGGGCAGTCTCGGTACTGTGGCAGAGTGGAAACTGGATTGGATGGATCAGTGAAGGGAAAGCATAAGAGTCCAGGCTGCAAGACTTCAGAGTGTGTTTGGGTTATAGTTTGAGTTTAATCAGCTATAATTGGCTTGTGATTGCAAACACTAACTGGCAGCTACTTGTCAGGCTGGGACAACACCATTTTTTAAAAAAAAAGTCAGGGACCTTATAAAAATTTTCTTTGGTCAGAAGTTTTCGCTGAAGCATTACCCATGAGGCTATGGAGGATGCCAAATCTTAGATAATCCATTTGCCTGCTATTTAATCCTGTGATCACCCTGCGGGTCAGTAGGCAGGATTAGCAAGTAGGTAAACTGGATTATGATCGGGCTTTCTCTCTCTTCCTACTCATTGTGGACAATTAAAATGAGGAAAAAAAGTGGAGGGAGATCTTTCAACTTTTCCGGTACACTCTAGAATCTTGTGTGATGCTACTCCTGGGTGCTGTATTGGAAGTGAAGGAAAACAATAACCAGAAATTTCTGCAGAGTCGTCAGTAAGTAATGTAGAAAGAATACTGTGAGGTGCAATATTTAGCCACTGATTGTTTCTCGGGTCTGTTTCAGGTGCAGCACGTATACCCATCGCAGGTGCAATATGTGGAGGGAGGTGATGCCGTCTATGCTAACGGAACAATGTAAGATCCCAAGTGTAATGGCTGTCTGCTGCTGTATGCCTTCTCTAGGTCATCTCACAAGCTTATTACATCTGTGCTTGTCGCCCAAATTGTTGGTTAGGAGGGTTGTGCTGTTATAGGGGAGCGAGCGCTGTACACCAGGCCTCAGATTCAGTCTGTCCCTAGTCTGGGTTCAACTTGTCTGCACAGCAGGCATGTGTTTTCCAGATAGCATGGCCAGAGGCAGGTAGTATTGAGACCCTATTGTAAAGACCTTGTGATCAGTGTCTGCTGGATCTCAACTATGTATTGTGAAAACAATGAATAATAATAATACTTGCAAAACTAATAGAGTAGTGAGCAAAACCAAGTGAGTGGCGATAAGGGGGGACTTCAATTGTCCTAACATAGACTGAGAAGCACACAGTGTAAGGGGCAAGGAAGGGGAGGAATTCCTGAAATGTGTGCAGGAGAACTTTCTGGATCAGCATGTTTCCAGCCCAACGAGGAAGGAAGCAGTGCTGAATTTAGTTCTGGGAAATGAAGTGGGGCAAGTGGAGCAGGTTTGAGTAGGAAAACATCTGGATAACAGTGATCACAATATCATTGGGTTTAGAATAGTTATGGAAAAGGACAACAATCAAAGGTAAAGACCCTCAACTGGAAGCGGGCTAACTTCAGTGAGCTAAAAGGGGACCTGGCCAAGATAGATTGGAAAGAAAGATTGGCAGGTAAGACAGCAAACAAACAATAGGAAGCCTTCAAGGAGGAGATAGTTCGGGGACAGAGCAAATACATTCCCACAAAGGGGAAAGGTAGGACAGTCAAACCTGCCTGGATGACTAAGGAAATTGGGATTAAAATAAAACAGAAAAGGGAGGCTTATGACAAATGTCAGGTCCAAAACACACAGGTTAATCAAATAGAATATAGGAAGTACAGAGGAGAAGTAAAAAGGGAAATAAGAAGGACGAAGAGATTGTACGAGAAAAGATTAGCAGGAAACATAAAAAGGCACCCTAAAGTATTTTATAAGCATATCAAGAGTAAAAGGTTAGTCAAAGGTAGGGTGGGTCCAATTAGGGACCCAAGTGGAAATCTTCTCGTTGAGGCGGAGGGCATTGGCTGATGGACTAAATAAGTACTTTGCAACTGTCTTCACAAAAGAAGACGATGCAACCAATGCCTCAATATCGCAGGCGTGTGAACAGAAATCAGATATGATAAAAATCAACAGAGAGGAGGTACTAAAAAGGCTGTCGGTGCTCAACATAGATAAGTCACCCGGTCCGGATGGGATGCATCCCAGGTTACTGAGGGAAACAAGGGTGGAAATAGCGGAGGCTCTGACCACAATCTTTCAATCCTCTTTGGCCACTGGAGTGATGTCAGAGGGCTGGAAGGTTGCAAATGTGACTCCCCTGTACAAAAAGGGGCAGAAGGATAAACCTGAGAACTACAGGCCAATCAGCCTAATATCAGTAGTAGGGAAACTCCTGGAGGCTATAATCCGGGACAATATAAATTCTCACTTGGAAAAATATGGTTTAATAAAGGATAGTCAACACGGATTTGTTAAAGGGAGATTGTGTCTGACAAACCTAATGGAATTTTTTGATGAAGTGACTGAGAGGGTGGATGAAGATAGTGCAGTCGATGTAGTTTATCTAGATTTTCAAAAGGCATTTGACAAAGTGCCACAAAAGAGACTTATATACAAAATAGAAGCCACGGCATTAAAGGGACTGTGGCAACATGGCTCCAGAACTGGCGAGGAGACAGAAAGCAGAGAGTGGTAGTAAACGGTTGCTTTTCTGACTGGAGGGAGGTGTGCAGTGGTGTCCCTCAGGGGTCGGTATTGGGACCACTGCTCTTTCTGATCTATATTAATGATCTGGACCTGGATATAGGGAGCACAATTTCCAAATTTGCAGGCGATACTAAGCCAGGAAAAGTAATTAATGGTGAGGAGGACAGCACCAGCCTCCAAGAGGACTTAGACAGATTGGTAACATGGGCAGACACGTGGCAGATGAGGTTTAATGTGGAGAAATGCGAAGTGTTGCATTTTGGTAGGAAGAATGAGGAGAGGCAATATTAGCTGATGGTACAATCCTAAAGGGGGCAAATGAACAGAGAGACCTGGGGGTCCACATTAGCAAATCTCTGAAGGTCGGCAGGACAAGTAGATAAAGCTGTTAAAATAGCATACGGGATACTAGGTTTTATAATAGGGCATAGAATACAAAAGTCAGGAGGTTATGTTGAATATTTATAAAATGCTGTTTGGCCTCAGTTGGAGTTCAGTTGTGGGCACCGCACTTTGGGAAAGATGTTAGGGGATTGGAGAGGGTGCAGAGGAGGTTTACCCGATGGTACCAGGAATGAAGGACCTTAGTTATGAGGAGAGATTAAGAGGGGATTCAATAGAGGTTTTCAAGATCATGAGAGGATTTGATAGGTTGAACCGGGAAAAACTGTTCCCACTGGCATGTGGGTCAGTATTCCGAGGACACCGATTTAAGATCGTTGTTAAAAGAATCAGAGGGGAGGTTAGGAAAAATGTTTTGACCAACGAGGTGTTGGGATCTGGAATGCTTTACCTGAAAGGCTGGTGGAAGCCGATTCAGTGTCAACTTTTAAGAGAGAAGTAGACGCGTATTTGGGGAGGGCAGGATTGCAGGGCTATGGAGAGAAAGCGGCCGGTGGGATTGAGTTGCAGGTTCTTTTAGGAGCCGGTGAAGACACGATGGGCCGAATGGCCTCTTTCTGTGCTGTATGATTCTATGATTTGATATAGCACTTGACACGTCTCAAAGCGTTTCACAGAATATAATGCAAAGTGAATTGACTATATGGTTTGTGGGCGAAATGCGGCAGCAAATTGCACACAGCTGTGTCTCACAAACAATCATGCCTTGAGCGACCCCAGTTTTTTTTTATATATATATTTTTTTGAAGGGATTATTATGCCCGGAAAAGCAATCCGCTAATTGATTAACAACGGGGTTCCTACTTGTTGCTAGATGAACAGAGGAATGTGGAGTAAAGAAACTTGCCCAATGTTTCGCCTTGCCTAGAAATCAAACCCAGGTCTTTTCGCTTGCGAGGCGAGTGCTCTAACCACTAAGCTACAGGACTCCATAGATGAGTGACCTGTACCAGGGTTTTCTGGCAGGAGTGTCAAGTCGTCCAGGTGCTTTTCCCAACAATTCGGCCCAACACTGCAGTTTGTGCTCTGCCTCAACCCAGAGCTCATTTCCCTCCCAATCACATAATACTATTAATTTTTTCATTTTTCTTTTCCTATATAGACGTACTGCATATTCCTATCCAGAAACTCAACTCTATGCTCAGAGCACTGGATCCTCCTACTTTGAGTCACCGGGAAATGCAGTTCAAGTGACCACTGTGGTGTCATCTCCTACTGTGGTACCATCTCACAGTATGGTGGGAGCTGTTGGCATTGCAATGGAGGTTGGAGGAAGTCAAATCATATCTAGTGGTGGAACCTACCTAATCCATGGAGGGTCAATGGACAGCTCAAGGCACCCTCTCTCACACACTTCTCGGCCGTCACCCGGAACAGTGAGTAACTCTCGAATCCTCCTTTCTTACCATGATCAGACATCGGGAGATTCACAGCTTACAAGAGTCTGAATCAACACCAACTTACATATTTATGACACCCTTTATGCAGGGTAGGCTCTCAGAGTGCTGAACAATGGTGGAGTTTGATGCCAAGTTTAAAGTGGAACCGAGATGAGAATTATTGGTTTAAACAGATTCTATGGGAAAACTATTCCATAGGAAAAACATACTGTGCAACAACACATCATTAGTAAGGTGAATCTAACCCATCTCCTAGACAATCTAAGCCTAGCTCCCGTTTCCTAGTAGTGGGTGAGCATTCCAGCTTTTGGTGATTTCTGTTTCAGAATTCTGTTTACAAATAAATAATCACTACACTTTGTATTAGGATTGGTATTGGGACCACTGCTGTTTATGATCTATATAAATGACCTGGACTTGGGTACAGGGAGTACAATTTCCAAGTTTGCAGATGATACTAAGTTAGGAAAAGTAGTAAACAGTGAGGAGGAGAGTAGCAGACGGCAAATGGACATAGACAGACTGGTAACATGGGCAGACACGTGGCAGATGACGTTTAATGTGGAGAAATGTGAAGTGATGCAATTTGGGAGGAAGAATGAGGAGAGGCAATATAAGCTGATGGGACAGAGAGACCTGGGGGTCATATAGTAAATGTTTGAAGGTGGCGGACAGGCAGATAAAGCTGTTAAAAAGCCTATGGGATACCAGGCCTTATAAATAGGGGCATAGAATACAACAGTCAGGAAGTTATGATGAAACACTGAGACAGAGGCCTCAGTTAGATCCAGGAATGAGGGACTTCAGTTATCAGGAGAGGCTAGAGAAGCTAGGATTATTCTTCTTGGAGCAGAGGAGGTTTAATAGAAATCTTGGAGCGAGATTTAATAGAAGTTTTCAAAATTACGAGGGGATTCGATAGGGTGAACAAGGAGAAACTATTCCCACTGGCGGGTGGGTCGGTAACCTGAGGATACAGATATAAAATAGTTGCCAAAAGAACCAGAGGGGAGGTGAGAAGAAATGTTTTCACACAGCGAGTTGATCGGATCTGGAATGCATTGCCTGGAAGGCTGGTGGAAGCCGATTCGATAACAGTTTTTAAGAGAGTAGATAATTACTTGGGAAGGACAAGTTTGCAGGACTATGGGGAAAGAGTGGGGTGTGGGACCGATTGGGTAGCTCATTCGAAGAGCCAGTGCAGACACGATGGGCCGAATGGCTTCCTTCTGTGCTGTATAATTCTATGACTTGTAGAATATTACAGCACAGAAGGAGGCCATTCTGCCTAACGTGCCTGTGCCGACTCTTTGGAAAAAGTCTCCTTATCTCCCCTCTGGTTCTTTTGCCAATTATCTTGCATCTACGTCCCCTGTGAAATCCTGCTTGAGATGTTTTGATACCATGATGAAGTGCTGTGTCAAATGCAAGGAATATTATTACAATGGTGATAACACATTGGACCCTTGGCCAGAGGGTGACACCTGCTTACAACTCTACAGCTGCTTTTCAATTCTTTTAAAACAGAATTAGATGGATGTTTGAAGTGCAGGAATATTAAATGGTTTGGGTTGTGCATGGGAAATTGCGATTAGATTAGATGGCCTTTGGAGAAAATCGCTAACAGTCTTGATCCCGTTTCTGTTCTGTTACATTCTGTCATTTTAAAAATCATAATTTTCTGTTTCTATTAGTCTTGAGCGCACTTTTCAGTACTTGTCAACATCCCAGACCTTCCAAGATATTTTCCGAATTGAAAATGTCTAAAACTGCTAGTTTGTTGTCAATCCAAAACAAGAAAGCGTACATATCAGTTAGTTAGCACTTGATGTAATAGGGAGTTTAGAAGGGACTTCTTCATGCAGAGTGTGGTGAGCGTGTGGACCCCCCAGTGAGAAGCTCTGCTTCAAGTCAAAGCAACAATGTATTTAAGAGGAAACTGCAGTTGCTGGAGCAGTGCTCAATGTGTAGGGATTTGTTTTAGTTGTGCTGCTCATCAGGGAGCTCCTGGTACCTGCTATCTGGTTTTAGCTGTTTAAACTCCAGCAGTACTTAATACACACTCTGGAATCCCCTAAGCTTTTATTCTTGCTAACCTTGGCTTTATATTCTCTGGAATTGAGTACGCAGGATGTGTCCCTCTGTCGAAAGTATGCGCATTCCATTCTGAAAATGTTCATTTGAGGATCCAATTCTCAGTCTGGTTTCAAAATTCTTAAACATGGTGAAGGTTTTCTCCAAATATCATCTGCATCTGGCTGAGCAAACAAGTATAGTAAGGGCCTGTGCACATTGTCTGTTGTCTGCAAATGATCAGCTGGTGACTAACCATCTTGTGGTATTGTAAGCTGGATCTTCTTGTAGCTGAGCTGGCTCCGAGGTGATGTGCTTTGCAAATTTGAGGCAATCCTCTGCAATGGCCTCTAGTCCTCCTCATGAGCTAGGCAGATTTGCAGTACTCCAGGGCATTGCTGATAGCACACCAGCCAGCCTGGTTCATTGGCAGGACTTGGGAGGGGCAGCGCTGTCACTGAGGGCAGGGATTCTTCACACTCAGCTCCTGTTATCCCTAATGCCAAAGCCTAATGGGACTCTTGCCAACCTGAGTCTAATATTTTATGGAATATTTTCAGAAATGAGGACATTTCCATATGGCATACATTGAACCCTGTCTGCTTTGGATATTCTTAAGCATGGGGATGGGTTTCCAAATGTTTCTGTTAACCAGCTAACCAAATAAAAAAGAGAGGAAGCATGAGGGAGAAGGGAATAAATGGGGAAGGGGGGAAGGATAGGGCCTGTGTGGAATATAAACATCCGAACGGACTAGTTGGGCCAAATGGTCTATTTTCATGTACATTTGATGTGGTCTTATCTCTGTTCCTTTCTTTCTTAGATTGAAATGGCAATTGAGAACTTGCAGAAATCTGAAGGGATCACAGCTCACAAAAGCAATCTGTTGAATAGTCATGTAAGTTTCATTGGCTTCTGAAACATTAGACCTGCATGTTAGCCAAAAGTGGTGGGGGGGTGGAAGAGTGTCAGGGAAATGTGTGTGGGGGGGAGAGAGAGAGGGTCAAGCAATTGTGAGGGGAGAGGGTCAGGAAAATGTGGGGGGGGGGGTTGTCAGAGAAATGTGGGGGAGATGTCTGTGAACAAAGCAAAGTAGCTTTTCATAATGGTGTTGGCTCCGAAGCACTTAATCACATCATCACATCATACATTTATTATATTGTTCAATTCTTAAAACATGTCTCCCATCAATGGGGCGGGTAGGATGGGAGCAGAAGAGGGAAAGGGGGCACGAGAATCAGGAAATGGAAGGGTTATGAGAGCGGGACAAGATACATTTACTGCATGAGTTATTCCATGCATTGGATAGATTAATTTTTTGTTTCAGTGACTTGATGTGATCTGGAGAGTCCAAGAAACCAGCTGGTCCTGGGTGATTGGAACTTCACTGGATAAGCAGGCAGTGTAAGGGTTAAATGCCAATTAGACGATTGGATGTACTGTCCAGTGAGAGTGGAATGGTTATCATGTAGTTGACCAAGAAATCTTGTTCCTCACAAATGAGAAACTTGAATGCTATAAATTCTGCTTGTATGAATTTTGCTGTGTGCTTTATTTTCCCATTTTAGTTTATATGGAAAGTATTTGAATGTTTTAAAAAAAGTTTTATTTGATAAGCTGGAATCTGTATTTAACACATTTATTGAACAGTACATAATTATTCTGCCTTCAGACTAATTTAAATGGTTTAAAGTTTTGAATCTTCATGCATGTTGTATCAACTTAAACTTATTTTGAAATGTAACACATATGGTCTTTTTGATACAGCTCCAATGGCTGCTGGATAACTATGAGACAGCTGAGGGGGTCAGTCTCCCAAGAAGTTCTCTGTACAACCATTACCTGCGACACTGCCAGGAGCAGAAACTCGATCCTGTGAATGCCGCTTCCTTCGGCAAACTGATTCGTTCTGTTTTCATGGGTTTGAGGACCAGAAGACTGGGAACAAGGTCAGGGTAAAACATCACATTAACATTGGAAATGGATGTAAATCCCACTCTGCAATATCAATTTATTTTCACTTGGGGAGCTTCAGCTTGGGGCAGCTCAATCAGTTCTGCTCTTTATTCAATCTGGAATGTATGCTCTATTCTCAACCTATTCTCTCTCACATATGCCTTCAACTGCATTGAAAGTTTGATAAAATATCGTTCCTTCTGTTAGGGTCCAGTTGAACAATCTGATTGGAATTGCTGTAATTCCAGGAGTTTTCACAGAATTATACAGCACAGAAGGAGGCCATTCGGCCCATCGTGTCTGTGCTGGCTCTATTAAAAGAGCTTCCAAATCACTCCCCTGTGCTCTCCCCATAGCCCTGCAAACTTATTCTCTCCAAATAATTATCAACTTCTCTCTTAAAGGTTGTCATCGAATTGGCTTTCACCACCTTTTCAGGCAATGCATTCCAGATCCAAACAACTCAGATTTGGAATATCTTGGGGGGACTACCCTGAGTTAACTTGAGTAATTGAGGGAGGGGGAGAGGGCGCAGAGAGTGAGTCAGAGCAAGAGGGGGAGGGAGAGAGAGTACTTGAAGGAGAGAGATGGAGATATAGTCATAGTCAATGTGTTAGTTAAAGCCATCAGTGATGTCACAGTTTTCACCTATTATCTACTATTAAATATACAAGTTAAATTTGCTGAAGTTCACTCCACAGTGGCTGTAGAATGGATGTCACATTATAAGGAAGAAGGCAATTCTGGTGTACAGCACAGTATTTAACTTTGGGTTTTGTTTCAGCAATCTTTGAAATAACCTTTCCACTTTTGTTTCAGAGGCAACTCGAAGTATCACTACTATGGCATTCGTCTGAAGCCAGATTCGCCTTTGAACCGTTTACAAGAAGATATGCAGTACATGGCAATGAGACAGCAGCCAGCCCATCAAAAGCAAAGGTTTGGATAGTGATGACCATTATTGTCCCCACAGTCCAGCCCCTCAGCTCACCTGATTAGCCATAGTTTATTGCTAAAATCAAGTTTCGGGACTAAGGATGAATTGTGGATTCAGGGTCAGATCCACCACTAATCCTATGCTCGTGAGTGTCTCAGGATCTTTGTGCTTTTTATTATTCACAACAGTGAATCTTCCCAATTAATGTAACTTGTATATTTAATAGTAGATAATAGAAACCTTGGGCAAGTTTCCTTACTTCACACGCTAATAATAATCCCTCCAAAAAACAAAACAATAATAAATTGGTCATTTTCAATCTACGACTGTTTGTGGGACACTGCTGTGCGCAATTGGCTGCCGCATTCGCCCACAAATATACAGTCAATTCACTTTACAGTATATTCTGTGAAGCGCTTTGGGACGTCCTCCCGACGTGAAAAGCGCTATATCAAATGCAAGGATTATTATTATTATTAGATAATAGGTGAACACTGTGACGTTACTGATGGCTTTAACTAACACATTGTTTGAAAAATGACCAGTGGGTGTGTTAGTTGTTGGCTGGTGTGTTGGACGCAGAGCAATCCAATATCTATCATAATGATTGGGCCTTAAGGCAACTGTGCTGTGCATCACACTTGCAGATCGCAGCAGTTAAAAAAAAATCAATTGAGCCAATATCCTACTAACCAGCATGCCAATATTGTAGCCAGATTCTGGGCTTAAACATAGTGAGTGGTGATGGGGGTGAGAAGGATGAAAGACAGGAGGTTTCACCTGCAGCACATTAAAGGATCATCAGATTCACATCTTGATTAGTGACATAAGTGTAACTAAATTTATCGCACTGCAATTTTCATCCCATTCAAAATAATAATTTTGGTGGGTGCCACACCCTCAAGGTTTGGATTTCTCCAGGGGCTCCAACCGTTATAAATTATGCAACCAGTCTATTTTGTAAGGATTTTGACTTGTTTCAAAAGTTTGTATCAGAAATTTCTATAGAAATCTCAAAAGAACTTCTGTCAATCAATTGTCGTGACACCCTCCTGTCAGGATGGCATGGCTGGGTTATTGGGTTTTGTGCATTTGTATTTTGTCAGGAAAATATATTCTTAATGGTAAAAATTTGAAAGGAGAGAAAGGCAGAAATATCTAGTGAGTAATAGGAACAGATTTATTTGTAGGAAGACCAGTTTACAAAGCTGTAAAGGTTAGACTAAAAGGGCAGTTCTTTTAGAGCCGATACAGGCAACGTGGGCCACATGGTCTCCTCTGTGGAAATATTCTGTGATTCTAAATTTCATCCAATTGCCATTTTAGGTTCAAACCAATGCAGAAATTGGATGGAGTAGGAGACGGTATGTCTGGGCAGCATATTGGCCCGACTACTCCAGAGCAGTCTGTAGCTGCACAGAGCCAACATCACCAGCAGTTTCTGGGTGAGTTAAGTGTTGCCAAACCTTCAATTTGATGGAACTGTTATTCCCACTTGCAATCATCTTTGGTTGATTCAAAACACATGTTTGTCAGTCTGGTTGATACACATTTGAAATTGCTTCAACTATAAGGGTAGAAATGTGCACAAATATGCCAAGAGTGTTCCTAGAAAATGTGCCACAACTCTGGCAATGAGCTGTGTGCAGTCCTGTTCTGCAACTGCTCCTCAGCAGCCCCTTTCCAGCTTCCTAATCTGCTTGTATAAATGATGCAAACAATGGAAGCCACTTTAGCCGGATGCCAGTTAACTTCCAACACCAGGTAAGTCGGACCAAACACCTGGCCCCAATTCATTTGTATTTTTACTTGTTTTAAATATGCTGGTTAATTTGGAAAAAAAATTGTTTAATCTGGACAAAATGCCGCGCTGGTCCCCAGGGCATATACTCACACGCCATGAGCGGCTCCAGGATGGATATAGGAGGAGTCAAATTGTAATTGATTGACAGCGGACGCAGAAATTCACAAGCAGTTCTAGGCTGTCAATCGATGAGGGGGGCGGAGGAACAGAAGAAACAAGGGAGGGAAACGGAGGAGTCAAATCGTGAATGATTGACAGTTGGAGTTGGTTGTGAATGGGTGGAGCCAATCCATTCACAAGCAGCTTCAGGCTTGGAGCTGCTGCTGATTGGTTCCCTTTCTGTCCAGTGGGAGGGAGAAGGTGTCATTGCTGCTCCTTTCCTGAGTGGGAAGAACTTTGGTTAACCTTGGGCTCCTCGATGTGTCCGGCTTAAGCGGCTTCGACTGCATCTGTGTCAGGAGAATATTGTTAGACCGATTCCTCCGGATCCACTCTCAGCCAGAGGGATTGAGACCAAATGTGGAACCTCACTCCAGCTATCAAAATTAGACCTTTGTGGTCTCCATCGTGCAATAATAGGTGCCATTGTGACTTATTTCCTATCTGCAACTTGCTTTCATTGCCTTGGGAAGTCCTCCTGATGTGAAAGGCTCTATACAAATGTAATTTTGTATTGTAATTTTGTATTGCCTCTCTAATGGTCTTTAGACGTCTCTCGTGCTCTGCCTGAGTTTGTTGATGTAGAGATTGGAGACAGCCCTTTCCCACAGGATGTCACATTGAATGATGTCAAGACATTGCAGATTCTGTACAGGGAGCACTGCGAGGTAAGCTTCACAGATAATCAGCGGACACTTGGGATCTATTAGGGATCAACTCTGTGTTCTCACATGCTACATTAGGGTAGGCTAGCCCTAATGACTTCTGATCATCTTTTCAAGGTATGGTGATTGACAGCCCAAACTGCAGCCTCTGCTCTAATGGCCTCTATACATTCCAGAGAAATATTTTTGCAATATCCCGATCTTCTGATTCTGTGGATTACTGCATCTAGTGCAGGTTTCATATTACATGGTAACATTCACGCTGTAGGTGAAGGAAGTCGTGTCTTTCCATTTCTAGCCAAAGGCTGTAAAGCCCAGAACTGGCAAAGCCTCACATGGCCTTTACAGGCAGTGCTGAGAGCTTGGATTATTCGCAAGAAAGTAGTTCACAAGGTCGAGGCCACCTAGACTTGTTTGACAAGCGGTTCAGTGTGGTGATTGGAGTCGAGTAGGGTGGGTATTCTGAATGGATGAGATCAAAGTTTTCTTCATCTGAACGTCTCTATGATCTCCACTTGAGCTTTCCTTTCGATTACAGGGGAGGCCAGCAGACAATTAAAATTCCCTCCTTTGCCACTGTTTATCTTCACAATGTGTCTGAAAGAGAGAAAATGTGATTGTTGCACAGGAATGAAAATGGTGCAATGTTGGTGCACAGGATCTATTGACATTGTGATTGGACATTTTTGTCTATTAGAATGACATGTTATAAATGTTCTGTGCATATTATATATGTTGTATTATATATATTATATAATATATATGACTACTCGTAAAATGGATTGTGTATATTTACATTGTATTTTTATTATTAATTGATTATTGATGCATTATTAGCAGATGCGAGACTGCATTTCTAAGCTAACAGGGCTGTCTCCTGTAGCTTGCTGGATGTTGTATGGTGAGGCCCCTCATGTAAACCATTGTGCTGCTTCTGTTCCAGGCAATGCTCGATGTTGTAATAAATCTCCAGTTTCATTACATTGAAAAACTGTGGCAAACCTTTTGGCATTCAGCTCCCTCCTCCAACGACGCAGATTCTGCCACTTCAGTCAGGTGAGAATATGGCAGCAATCCGTCCTCACAAACAGAGGGTGACTAATGTAGACTTGCTAGCCCCAGATATTAAACTTTGCAGGCTTATTGAATATTTTTTTAAAAAGCAATAACATCAAAATGTGAATTCACATTTCAGGATTTATTTTCTGTTGGTTAAGAAATTATTGAGGGTCTCTTGTTTTCTGCAGTGAGGAGGAGAATGATGCCATTTTCCCCAAAGATAAACTGATGGAGCTCTGTAAATTTGACCCCATTGTTAAGTGGATGAGGAGCTGTGACCATGTCCTGTACCAGGCACTGGTGGAAATTCTTATTCCCGATGTGCTGCGGCCAGTTCCCAGTGAGTAGCATTATACTTTGTACTTGGGCGCCCAAGTTCCTTCAGACCTAACTTAATGAGCTGTCGTTACCACTGTTCTTGTACTTCAGACTTGGCGAATACACTGGCAATCTGTCACGTACATCCACAATAAACACTTTGCTGTCGAGTGCAGCAGCTTGCTTTCATGTTCTCAGACTTGGTTCTTTTTGAAATTGTTCACCTTTCTGCGTATTAGGTTTCTTCCGTACAATCTTCCCTTCCTCTCTCCTTTCCATCCCATTTTTCCCTCTTCTGTCCCCTTTTCTCTCCTCCAGAGACCTCCACAATGCTCTCCAGAGCGCTTTGCTGAGGCTGGACTTGCCTAGAGTTTCTAATCTCACTGCAATGGGTTTGACATTGTTTTGGTGTTTGTTAGGTGCTTTGACTCAAGCCATTCGCAATTTTGCCAAAAGTCTGGAGGGATGGCTCACAACTGCTATGATTGGCTTCCCTCAGCAGATGCTTCGTACTAAGGTGAGACAACATCATTGAAGGCTGGTGGGGGCTAGGTCGGGGTGGGGCTGATGGGCATGGCACCTTCATCAATGCCATGCTTCCCCAGCACTGCTCTGGAGTGTCAGCCTGGACTGCCGGCAGGAGATAACCGCATCATTAGGGCTTCTGGTTTTTGGGGTTTAAAAAAATGCAATTTTAGGAGTTAATTTTAGTTACTTTTAGCATTTTTTAGTTCTAAAAATCAAGATTTTTCACATTTAATGGAAGATTCTGACTGTAAAGATATTCCAAAGCGTGGATGTATTAGCAATGTTCTTTCTTGTCAACTCAAAGCTTTCCAATTCACTAACTATAAGCACATGAATTTGTCCGGCTCAGTGTCCTTTTTGTACCACCTGTCTTATCTCATTGGCTTTTTCTTAATTGCCTTTTACTTCTTAAAGGGATATCCCACACAGACAGGCCTGCGCACACGGAGGGGACAGAGAGGCCCTCATTCAAGCGCAGTGCGGGTCAGGACAGGTAACCATTTACGGGGTTTTGCAGTGTTTATTGCATGAACACTGATTTTTTTATATAAAGAGTTTTATTGGGGGGAGGGGATTAGACCGAAAATCAGAAGCCCTACATATAAAAGGCATCATTTGTCCTTGAGTTGCTCCATACCTGTATAATCATTCAGTTCTGGCAGGCCTGGCTTATTTGGTAGCACTCTTACATTTGAGTCAAAAGGTTGTGGGTTCAAGCTCCATGTTTGGACTTGGAACTAGTGTAGTCTAAGCTGACACTCAAATGCAGTGCTGGGGGTGTGCTGTGTTGTTGGAGGTTCCGCCCATTGGATGAGACGTTAAACAGATCCCACCTGCCTGTCCAAGTGGAAATTGAAGATCCCACGGCGCTATTCGAAAAGAGAAGGGAGATCCTCCCTGTATCCTGGCTAACAATTCCCCAAATAAAATTGGTCCTTCACTTCACTTGAGCATGCAATGGTCACCTACAAATATACAGTCACTTCACTTGACAAAAAACATGTGAAATGTTTTGGGGTATCCTCAAAGTGAGAGGCCAGTGCCAAATGCAAGAATTATTATTTTATTATTAAATAGCTTCTCCCTATTTACCCTGTCAAAACCCTTCATAATTTTGTACACCTCTATCAGATCTGCCCTCAACCGTCTCTGCTCCAATGAAAACAAACCACTACTCCCAAATCCCTTTGCTCCTCAGATCATTGTAAGATCCTGATATTCAACAATTCGCATTTATATAGTGCTCCTCGCGCAGGTTAGCGTCCCAGAGCGAATGACTGTGGCGGAGCATGATGCCGAGCCGGGGGAAGGTGACTGACAGCATGGTTGAAGAGAAAGATCTTAAGGCATGACTTGAAGATGGGGAGGCATGAGGCCAGGCGGAAGGATAGAGGGAGAGTGTTTCAGAGTTTCAGGGCGTAGTGGCAGAAAGCATGTCCACCGATGGTGGAACAGAGGGCCAGAGGCACATGCAGAAGGCTCAGTCGAGCGGAAGCAATGGGTAGGAGATTGGGGATTAAATCTGTCGGCGAGGTAGAGAGGTGCCAGGGCATGAAGTGATTTGAAAACGATCCATTTGGTGATAAGGAGCCTGGCTGGAACTGGTACGGAGTTTAGTGTCCCACCTAGTTTAGTGTCATCCGCAAATTTAGATACGTTACATTCAATGTCCTCGTTTAGATCATTGATGTACAACAGCAACAACAAGATTTCATTTATAGAGCGCCTTTCACGTCGGGAGGACGTCCCAAGGCGCTGGACAGTTGGGTCGGGACCCGAGCATTGGGGGGAAATGGTCAGGGTGAGGGGAGGGAAGGGAGGGAGCGAGGAGGGGGGAAATGGACAGGGTGAGGGGAGGGAAGGGAGCGAGCAAGCGAGGAGGGGGTAGAGAGTCGAGAGGAGAGCTGAAGGCACGGCTGAAGAGAATGTAAATGTATGTAAATTATAAATAGCTGAGGCCCAGCACTGGTCCTTGTGGCACTCCACTAGTCACATCCTGCCAATTCGAGAATGACCCGTTTATCCCTACTCTCTGTTTTCTACCCGTTAGCCACTCTTCAATCCGTGCTAATATGTTTCCATTAATCCCGTGGGCCTTAACCTTGTGCAATAGCCTTTTGTGTGGCACTTTGTCAAATGCCTTTATAAAATCTAAATATACTACATCTACTGGTTCCCCCCTCTCTAACCTGACAGATTTAACATCTTCAAAAAACCCTAAAACATTAGTGAAGCGTGACTTCCCTTTTGTAAAGCCATGTTGACTGCCTAATCTTGTTATGGTCTTCCAGGAATCCCATAACGACATCCTTAATTAAGGACTCAAAAATTTTCCCTACCACTGATGTCAGACTAACTGGTCTATAGTGCCCCATCTTTTCTCTCCCACCCTTCTTAAATAGTGGTGTGACGTTTGCAATCTTCCAATCAATTTTGCTTCATGTGTAGTGCTGTAGCTCAGGGTTAGAGCACTCACCTCACAAGCAAGAGACCTGGGTTTGATTCCCAGCAGGGTGAAATGTTGGGTAAGTTTTCTTACTCCACATGTCTCTCTTTACCTAGCAGTAAGTAGTTAGTCGATTGGTGGATCACTTTTCCGGGGGGTAATAATTCCTTCAAAAATAATAATAAATTGGTCACTTCAATCACAACTGTTTGTGGGACCCTGCTGTGTGCAATTGGCGTCGTGTTTCACCCGTAAACTTGGATACCTTACTCCCTATATCCAAGTTGAGGTCATTGATGTATATTGGAAAAAAGGAGAGGCCCCACTATAGATCCCTGTAACAGGCACTAACTACCCTCCTCCAACTGGAGAAACAAGCTTTTAGCTCTACTCTCTACTTTTCATCCTCAACAACCCTTCTATCCAAACCACCACGTTTCCCTCTGTTCCACGCCACAGATTTTCTCCACCTGTCTTCCGTGTGGCATCTTATCAAAGATATACATACCAAGAATGTACAGCACGGAAACTGACCACTTGGCCCACCACCAACAACAACTTGGATTTATATAACGTTGTCTCAGAGCGCTTCACAGTAACGGATCCCAGGGCCGAACGGGGATGGGGGGAGGGGGGGGGAGAGCCAGGGGGAGAGGGGAGGGAGCCAGGGGGAGGGGGAGGGAGCCAGAGGGAGGAGCCGGGCGGGGGGAGGAAGGTGACCAAAGGGGCGGTCGAAAAGAAAGGTCTTCAGCCGAGACCTGAAACTGGGAAGGGAGGGGGCGAGATGAAGGGAGTGAGGAAAGGAGTTCCAGAGCCTCAGGGCATAGTGGCTGAAGGCACAGCCGCCGAGGGTGGAGTGGAGGACTCGGGACGAGGAGGAGGTCAGACCCGGAGGAACGAAGGCAACGGGTACTGTTTTGAAGAGAGAGGTCGGGTGATGCAGAGGAGTGGAGGGACTTGAAGACAAGGGTGAGGATCTTGAAGTCGATCCTCTGGGACAGGAGCCAGTGCAGTCTGGCCAGGACTGGGGGGATCGGGGAGGTCCGTGCCAGTGTTTATAATCCCCACGTCTCCACCCTTAAACAGCAGCAGGTACCAGTGATTAGCCAATCAAAAGCAACATTCCATCATTTTACTGTGATTTTGCAGCAGAGAGTTTGTAATGTATTTTAGTCAGAAGCGAGTCATGGATTCAGTGAAATACCAGGGCTCCCACTGCCTCCTCGTCCTATCAGCAGCATTCGATACGGTTGACCACTCTATCCTCCTCCACCACTTGTCCTCCCACCTCAACCTTCAAGGCCCTGTCCTTGAGTGGTTTAGGTCGTACCTCTCCCACCGTCTTCAATTTGTTTCCACGAATGGCTCCTCCTCCACCCCCTGCACTGTCTCGTGTGGTGTCCCTCAGGGCTCTGTCCTCGGTCCCCTCCTCTTCACCCTCTATATGCTCCCCCTGTGGTGACATCATCCGCAGACATGGGGTTCACTCCCACATGTATGCGGATGACACCCAACTCTACCTTTCCTCCTCTACCCTCAACTCCACGACCCCCGATGTCCTGACAGCTGTCTGTCCGACATCGAGTCCTGGACGAGAGACAACTTTCTTCAGCTCAACGTGCGCAAAACTGAGGCCCTCCTGATTGGTTCGCGTCAGCGCCTCCGCACCTCAGGCGCTGACAGCATCAGCTCCGCACTCTCCACCTCTCAAAGCCATCAGGAACCTCAGGGTTCTGTTCGACCCTGAGCTGTCCTTTCTCCCTCATATCCGCACCACAACTGGCACCGCCTTCCATCACCTCCGGAACATCGCCAGACTACGGCACTACCTCACCCCTCACGCGGCTGAAACTCTGGTCCACACCTTTATCACCTCAAGGCTGGACTATGGGAACTCTCTCCTCGCCGGCCTTCCCGCCACCTCCCTCCACACTGCAGGTCATTCAGAACTCTGCAGCTCATGTACTGTCCCGCACCAGACACCGCGACCACATCACTCCCACCCTCGCCCTCACCCTCACCCTCGCCCTCGCCCTCACCCTCGCCCTCGCTCGCCTCCACTGGCTCCCCATCCCCCAGAGGATCAAATTCAAGACCCTCATCCTCACCTACAGGGCCATTCACGGCCTCGCTCCCTCCTACCTCTCTGACCTACTATCCCCCTACCTACCTGCCCATACCCTCCGTTCCATTTCCCCCCTCCTTGCTCCCTCCCTTCCCTCCCCTCACCCTGACCATTTCCCCCCAATGCTCGGGTCCCGACCCAACTGTCCAGCGCCTTGGGACATCCTCCCGACGTGAAAGGCGCTCTATAAATGCAATCTTGTTGTTGTTGTTGAAATGGAGATATTTTTAAACTGTCCTGTCCAGTGATGGGAATTGTTTTGCACCGAACTTTGCTGAACTCATGAAAGAGAAGCAAACATTGGTTTGTCATTAACTGGGTCCTAGGGTTTCTACAACAGATTCTAAATTTTAACATTTGCTGCATTTAATACTTATTATGTTATTGTTTATATTCTCTATCATGGGTAAGAAATATTTAGTGAGCCAGATGCTTTTTGCATAAAAGCTATTTACAGGGTCACATTAGGCCATCAAGGTTTACAAATGTGTCTTGAGCCCCAAAAGGTTGAGAAGCACTGCTCTGGGTTTGGCTGTGTCATCAGTCACATTGCTTTTAAATGTCAAAGACCCAAAATTTAATTTAGTCTTAGCCTGTGACAGCATTTTGTGTTAAACTATTAAGATAATACAGTATTGTGGAAAATTCTCAAATTGATTTACAAGTTGGATTTTCAACAGTTCTTAAAGGGACCCAGGTGGAATTTCAGGCCTCCTGGTGTCTGATAACCAGGAAGAGTCCATAACATTAACTGGGGAACAGATTTTAAGCATGACATGTGTCAGCCACCAGTTTTGTTGCTGTTTTTAGCTGATGATGTCATGTACTGAAGTTGCACTGTTTCTGGTGTTACTTAGGTTGGAGTGGTTAGTGCCTTTGCCCAAACACTGCGCAGATACACATCCCTCAACCACCTGGCACAAGCTGCTCGAGCTGTACTGCAGAACACATCTCAAATTAACCAAATGCTCAGTGACCTCAACCGTGTTGATTTTGCCAACGTGCAGGTAAGATGACGTCACTTGAACAACCCAAATTATTAAAGTTGAAAACCTGTGTTTTTCTTTCCTCCTGTCCTGTTCTGAATGCAGTGCCTCTAGTTGGTGTAAACAAATTGACTTGACGCTACATTACTTTCAAATATTGGTTTTATTAACGTTTGTGAACAGACAAATCAGCTACACTCTATCCCTTATACAGATATACTAGGCAACAGACAGAGTCAAAATCATATTTACCAGATTCGACTCTGGGCAGCGGCAACAACTCCCGGAACTTCCACAATCCTCCTCACTTTTAATGGTCACTTTCTTACTGGAGGTAAATTCCCTCACCACTGTACATATACATGGATAGAGTAGAATCAATATCGATTCCACTAGGAAATATGCTGACACAACTCCCAACTATTTCAAAGTTACTTCTTTTATGTGTTTCTAACGCCACCCCCCCATGTCATAGAGATAGCCCCCATCCTTCTCAGGCTGCTTTGCACAGAGAGAGATATGGACAACTTCTGGGCAGCCTCCCACAGCCGGCTTGTTTCTCAGCCTTGAGATCGGCAGGTGTCTGAGGCTGCAGCCTTTTCTTTCTGTTGTCCATTGTTCTTACATCTATGCTCAAGGACCCGATGGCTCATTATCTCAGAGGAGTGAACATCTTCCCAGGAAAATATGAAATATAATCAGAAGCTAACCTCAGCCTGTCCAGCAAAGCTACTTTTAACCCCTGCTAAGTTAGTCATTAAATTAAAGTTCCTGGTTATCCCAGCTCCAGTATGACCTTCACTCATCTCTTGACTACTTTTACTCCAGTTACGTACCATTTCTGCTTATTTTTGCACATATTTTTAACTATCGGTTACTTTTTAACCCTCAATTCTTCTGAGACATTCGGTTGCTGCTATCAATATACCAGTGTATCCTGAGGATATAGTCAGTGCGTTTACCTGTAAAGTCAATGGGCATTTTTTAAACTTTGTGGCTGGGGTGGATTGATGTACATGGGACATTCTGTGAGTTGAGAATTGACTGAGTTGAAGGAAGACTGCAAGTCTCAATTTACAATCTGCATGACATTAAGTTACACTTTTTAATAACACTTTCCGCTCCCTCCTTCCTTCTTGTTCTAAACCCATCCAGTGTCAGCAAAAGCTTCTCCAATCTGTCTGATCTGCAGATTTGACATATTTTCTCCAAGAGGAAGAAAATCTAAAATGTGTTCTTTCTGAATAAATAAACCTCAGTTTTGAAAACTGCCTTTTCCCCTTTTATGTATTGTAACCTTGTGTGATTGTATAAAGGAGCAGGCCTCGTGGGTGTGTCAATGTGAAGAGGGGCTCGTGCAGAGGCTGGAACAGGACTTTAAGCTTACACTTCAGCAGCAGAGCTCACTGGATCAGTGGGCAACCTGGTTGGATAATGTGGTTAACCAGGTCCTCAAGTCCCATGAAGGAAGCGCTAGTTTTCCCAAGGCTGCTCGGCAGTTCTTGCTAAAATGGTCCTTTTACAGGTTTGTAAACTGACTGTAATGATTGTTCTTGCTGTTGGTGTGTAACACAAGAGCTGGCATGTTCCCAAATCTATATCTGAATTTGCACAGTAATTGAATGGATGTAGATGTATCAAAGTTGCTCATTTCATGCATGGCTGGCCAACGCTACTCTTTGCTGTTATGCTTCTATAATCTTTAAAAAGTGATGAAATTGAGCAGTATTTTACATTTAAATAAAGAGTATTTAGAGTCTGGCAGGATGTCAGTGGATTGGAAAGTGGTAGATGTGGTGTATCTGTTCAAGAAGGATATCAGGGACAAGCCGGGGAACTGCAGGCCAGTTAGCCTGATGTCAGTTGTGGGTAAAGGTTTGGAGGGAATAATAAGGGACCAGGTTAGCGAGTACTTAGACAGGCGGTAGTTAATCAAGGACAGTGAGCACAGATGTATGAAGGACAGATTGTGTTTGACTAATTTAATAGAGTTCTTTACGGTAACAGCAAATGTGGAGCAACGCTATGGATATTTGCATTTCCAAAAGGCATTTGGTAAAGTGCTGCAAGGAAGATTGGTGAAGAAACTTAGGGCACATGGAATAGGGAGAAATGTGGCAATTTGGCTAGAAGGTGGTTGAAGGATAGAAAGCAGAGGCTGGAAGGTTGTTAGACAATGGTGTGTCACACGGGTCTGTGTTGGGGCCTCTTTTTTTCCATATACAGTATATCAATGACCTCAACTTGGATATATAGGGTTCGGTATCAAAGTTTACTGATGACACCAGTCTAGGTGGAATCATGATGAGGATGGCAAGAAACTGCAAGAAGATGATCAAATAGCACAATGGGCAGATCAGTGACAAATTCATTTCAATTAAGGGAATGTGAGGTGATTCATTTTGGTATACAAAACAAGGGAATGGCAGTAACTTGCAAGGAGTAGAGGAACAAAAGGACTTGGGAGTGAAGGTCATTGAAAGTATAAGCACAAATGACAAATGCTGCAAAGAAAGCTAATAGTATGCTGGGTTTTATACATGGCCATAGAATACAATAGTAAAGCAAAAATGCTAAGATTGTACAAATCATTGGTTAGTCCACACCTGGAGTACTGTGTTCACTTCTGGGCACCTTACTTCAGGAAACATGTTAAGGGGGTAGAGAAGGTGCAGAGAAGGTTTATGAGAATAATGAGGTGTGTGAGGAGAGATTGGAGAGGCTGGGTCTCTTTTCATTGGAGCAGTGAAGATTGAGGGGACTTGATAGAGGTGTATAGAATTATGAAGGGTTTTGATAGTGTGAATAGGAAGAAGTTATTTTCATTGAAAGGATCAGTAACCAGGGCACATAGTTCTAGGATAGCCAACAAGAACAGCGAAAGAAGAATTTAGGAAGAATGTTTTCACCCAGAGAGTGGTGGGGATGTGGAATGCTGCAGACTGAGGTGGTGGAGGTAGATGCTATTGTTGCTTTTAATAATAATAATAATCCTTGCATTTGATATAACACCTTATCAAGTCTTCTAGACGTATCAATGCTTCACAGAATATACTGTAAAATGAATTGAATTGACTATATTTGTGAGCGAAACATGGTAGACAATAGCGCACAGCGGTGTCCCACAAATAGTTGTGAGTTGAGTGACCAAATTATTATTTTATTATTTTTTCTTGAGGGATTATTATCTGGCATGATTTGGTGGGGAGATATACTGCAATGTGTAGTGACTATTTTGTGGGTGAATGTAGCAGACAACTTGCACACAGCAAGTTGTCTGCTACATTCCCACAAACAAGCATGAAGTGTCCCACAAACAAGCATGAAGTGAATGACAAATTTTATTTGGGAGATTGTTGACCAGGACACTGGGAAAGATGAAGGAGTTTTTACCCCCTGTGCTGGCCAAAAATCCTCCAAATAAATTGGTCATTCACTTCCTTGTTATTTAAGCAACCTTGCTGTGTGCAAATCAGCTGTCATGTTTGCCTATAAATAGTCATTACACTTAGACAGTAATTCCCCATGGATTGCTTGTGAATCATGTTCCTGCCAGTACAGATTTCTTGATGAAGCCTCTGTCAGTTGTGAAACGTCTGCAGATCTTTGTGATCAGTCCTTGCACTGACGGTGCTTGGGAGGAGGGGGCTGCCTTACGTGTGTACCAAATAGCACAGCTATTGGCCTCCTTGCCTTTTGGGTTGGGGAGGAAAAAAAAGTCAGCCAAGCTTCCTCTTCCCGATACTGTTCGGTATCTCCTGCTTGAAACTGCGTATGTGGCTGTGAAGAGGCTTGAATGAGCTTGGCTTCACTTCCCAGAGTGTTAACACTCAGTGTTAAACACCAAGAATGTCCTCTTCCTCTTGGTTCTCCAGAGTGCAGTGATATCCCAATAGAACGAGATCAAGATTGGTTGGTGTGGAGGCAAAGTATAATGAAGTATAATGTAGGGAAGTGCAAAGTCATCCACCTCGGGAGCGAAAACAGTAGAGCGGGTTATTTTTTAGAAGGGGAGAGATTGGAATGTGTTGGCGTCCAGAGGGACTTGGGGTGTCCTTGTACACCAATCACAGAAAGTTAGTCTGCAGGTGCAGCAGCGATTAGGAAGGCGAATGGTATGTTAGCGTTCATTATGAAAGGATTAGAGTATAAGAGTAGGAAAGTTTGTTGCAACTGTATAGGGCCCTGTGAGACCACACCTGGAATACTGTGTCCAGTTTTGGACTCCTTATTTAAGGAGTAGATTTACTAGGTTTATAGCAGGGATGAAGGGGATGAGTTACGAGGATAGGCTGACCAATTTGGGCCTATATTCTCTAGAATACAGAAGAATTAGAGGGGATCTTATAGAAACCTATACGATCATCAAAGGGCAATGATAGATTAGTTAGTGGGAGATTGTCTCCCCCGGTTGGAGAAACTAAAACCAGGGGTCACAACCTTAAAATCAAAACCCTTTCGCACTGAGTTGAGGAAGAACTTCTTCACTCAAAGGGCGGTGAATGTATGGAACGCACTACTCCAAAGGGCTGTTGACGCTCAGTCCTTGAACATATTCAAGACTGAGATAGATATGTATCTTATTGCAAAAGGGATTAAGGGATATGGGGATAAGGCGGTGGGGGGCGAAGCTGGGGGTTAATAATAATAATAATAATTATTATTGGGTTGGGGGGGATATGGGGATAAGGCAGGTCAGGTTATTAGCTGGAGTTAGATTAGAAGATCAGCCATGGTTGAATGGCGGGGCAGAGGCTCGAAGGGCCGAATGGCCTACTCCTGCTCCTACATGTTATGTTATGCAAGTTATTTGACTGTTGTATGAAATTACACTGGAATCAAACTTGTTTTAGTGCAACTATATATTGGAGCCAGTGCTGTATGTGATGTTTGTGTTTCAGTTCCATGGTGATCCGTGACCTAACGCTCCGCAGTGCCGCCAGCTTCGGCTCCTTCCATCTGATTCGCCTTCTTTATGACGAGTATATGTTCTACCTGGTGGAACATCGTGTTGCCCTGGCGACCGGTGAAGCACCCATCGCGGTGATGGGGGAGGTAATAGAACCCATTGACTGAAGGAAGTGGAACATTCCCACATCATCCAAAACACGAGCCATTCACAAACATAGACCACCTCACTATCATTATTTCAATGGTCAAAGAGATGGCACAGCCATCTTGAAGCTCCAGCTCTGTATATAAGGCAGGAGTGTTATTCACACACAATATACAGGGAAACATCATCATTCACACCTTCATCAATCTAGGCTGGACTATTCAAATGCCCTGCTTGCCAGACTCCCCAGATCCTCCCTCATAAGCTGTAGACAATCCTAAACTCTGTTGCTCATATCCCTTCCCACAACAGGCTCCATGAGCCTATCACCTCCATCCTCACTTGGCTCCACTGGACCTGAGCTGGGGGTTGGGAACAGGAGTGGTAGAGAGTAGGGCGAGGGTAGGAGGGTGACCGAAGGCGTGGTCAAAACTGAAGGTCTTGAGATGGGTCTTAAAGGAGGCAAGGGAGGGAGAGAGATGAAGGGACAACAACAACATGTATTTATATAGTGCCCTCCACACCTGAAGGCGTCTCAGAGCGCTTCACAGTAACGGATCCCGGGGCCGAGCCAGGGGGAGGGGGAGGGGCCAGGGGGAGTGGGGGGAGCCAGGGGAAGGTGACCAAAGGTGTGGTCAAAAAGAAAGGTCTTCAGCAGAGAACTGAAAATGGGAAGGGAGGGAGCGAGACGAAGAGAGTGAGGAAGGGAGTTCCAGAACCTCGGGGCATAGTGGCTGAAGGCACGGCCACCGAGGGTGGAGCGGAGGACTCGGGGGACGAGGAGGAGGCCAGACCCGGAGGAACGAAGGCAACGGGTACTGTTTTGAGGAGAGAGGAGGTCAGAGAGGTCGGGGGGTGCAGAGGAGTGCAGGGACTTGAATACGAGGGTGAGGATCTTGAAGTCGATCCTCTCTGGGACAGGAACCAGTGCAGTCTGGCCAGGACTGGGGGGAGAGTGGTTTCGTGCGGGTGAGAATGTGGGCACTGAGTTTTGTATGACCTGGATTTTATGGATGGTAGTGGAGGGGAGGCCGGCGAGGAGAGCATTTGAAAGGTCCAGCCAAGAGGTGACAAAGGCATGGACCAGGGTTTCAGTGGCTCTTGGACGAGCGATGCATCGGAGGTGGAAGAACGTGGTGCTGCTGAGGGACCGGATGTGGGGGAGGAAGGATAATTGAGGTCAAACCTGAGGGACCATGGGATGGAGTTCCAGAGTGGGCAAAAATGCTGAAGACTCGACTGCCGATGGTGGGATTGGCCAGACAGGGACATGGAGCTCACTGAGTAGAGGAAGCAGAGTCTATATTGGAGTTTGTTTCCATTTAATTGCTTGAATTTGGTTTATAGTAGTTGGAATAGCGGAGTGGTTGCCTGGTGTGCTGCTGTGCGTCCCTTGTGTGTAGCGTGGAACCTCTTTAATGTCAAGACTTTAGTTCTGTTGCCCTTTATCGCAGTAATTACATGTAAATCATCACTTCTGTTATCCAGAATCCATTTTTACTCACTTTCAGGAGCTCCACAAACCTTTTTGCTCAGTGAGATAAACTTATATTCTACCTTCCTGTCACATTTTGCATTGTTTTATAAATGGAGGAAGTAATTTATTAGAAATAATAATGATCATTGCATATCTGTTTAAATTCTTAGAGTGTTGACTCTTAAAGATTTTAGGGCATTATTTAAAGCAACTTATTTTACATCCACCACTGCTCACGATCAGAGGTTTGCTGCTGGGAATCTGGTGGGGGTGAGTGAGTGAGTGTGGCTGGCCAGAATATAATTAATGCTCACATTTTCTCTCTAGTTCGCCGATCTCAATCCTGTGTCTCCTCTCCACATGCAGAAAGGTAAGTGTTTTTATGTCAGCTCTGTGCAAGATTTACATGAACATGCATGAGGATCCGATGCTGAAACACATTTGCATTTTCAGATTTAAGGCCCGTGGATTTTCATAGGCGGGTGGCGAATTGTTAGTGGGATTGATTATTAAATGAATCGGGGTCAAAGGCAGTTTCTCAGACTGATAGTCAATGGTGCCCACACTGGTCTGTGTTGATCTTGTTTTTATGTCCTCAATAACTAATGGCAAATAATACCTGGAATCTGGAACACACTGCCTGAAAGGGTGTGGAAGCAGATTCAATAGTAGGTTTCAAAATGAAATTGGATAGATACTTGAAAAGGAAAAAATTGCAAGGCTATGGGGTAAGAGCAGGGGAGTGGGACTAGGATAGCTGACTCAGACACGATGGGTAGAATGGCCTCCTTCTGTACTATAAGATTCTATAATAATCCTTGTAATTGGTATAGCCCCTTATTGGGTTGTTGATGTCCCAAAGCGCTTCACAGAATGTATCGTAAAGTGGAGTGACTGTATTTTTTGGATGAAACAACATAGGGGAACTATGTCAAACAGGAACTGCAGCTCGTGGCCAGTCAGTAACTGGAGGGCAGATTTAAGGTGATCACAAAAATCATTCAAGGGGAGCTTGTTGGCCACAGAGCACAGTTTGCACGTCTGTTCCAGGGGTAGGTAAAGAACACGCTCGATTCTTTCATTTCAACATAACAACAACAACAAGATTACATTTGTATAGTGCCTTTCACGTCGGGTGGAGGTCTCAAGACGCTGGACAGAGTACAGCATTTCAGACCCGAGCTGGGGTCAGGGGGGAGGAAAGGGGGGTGGCCGACTTGAAGGAGGCTAAGGAGGGGGCGAGGCGGAGTGACTGGGGGATGGAATTCTAGAGGTTGGGGCAGAGTGGCTGAGGGCTCTCCCACCAATGGTGGGGCGGGTAGGTCGGGGGATGTGGAGCAGCCAGAGCCGGCTGAGCGGAGGGAGCGGGCCGGTTGGTAGGGGGTTAGGAGGTCGCAGAGGTAGGGTGGGGCGAGGCCATGGAGGGCTTTGTTTGTGAGGGCCAGGATCCTGAACTGGATCCTCTGAAGGATAGAGAGCCAATGGAGTCGGGCGGGAGTGGGGGAGATGGGGTGCAGAGATCTGGATGAGGTCATGGAGTTTGGTGCTGGAGAGGACACGGGCTGCAGAGTTAGTTCTGGATTACCTGCAGTCTGTGGAGGGAGGAGTTGGGAAGGCCGACACGCAGGGAGTTTGCATAGTCGAGTCTGGAGGTGACGAAGGCGTGAACAAGAGTTTCAGTGGCCTGAGGGTGAGGTAGTGGTGGAGTCGGGCGATGTTCCGGAGGTGAGGGAAGGCAGAGCGGGTCATGGCTTGGATGTGAGGAAGAAAAGACAGTTGAGGGTCGAACAAGACACCTCGGTTCCTGACTGACTGGTGAGTTGGTGAGTTGTAGTGTACACCATGGAGGGTGATGCTGCCAGAGCCTGAGGTGCGGAGGCGCTGGTGTGAGTCAATCAGGAGAGCCTCAGTCTTGTTCACATTCAACTGTAGGAAGTTTGCCCTCATCCAGGACTTGATGTCCGACAGACAGTCTGTCAGGACAGCAGTGGGACCTGGAGTTGAGGGTGGGGGCAGACAGACAGTCTGTCAGGACAGCAGTGGTCCTGGAGTTGAGGGTGGGGGCAGACAGACAGTCTGTCAGGACAGCAGTGGGACCTGGAGTTGAGGGTGGGGGCAGACAGACAGTCTGTCAGGACAGCAGTGGTCCTGGAGTTGAGGGTGGGGGCAGAAAGATAGAGTTGGGTGGCATCCGCATACATGTGGATGTTGATCCCATGTCTGCGGATGATGTCACCGAGGGGGAGCATATAGATATTAAAGAGGAGACAAGGACAGAGCCCTGGGGTACGCCAGACATGACCGTGACAAGTTGCTCCAGCTTCAGGTGCAGCCATTGGGAGAGGGGTGGAAATGGTTGTGCCCACAGACGGGCATCAATCACCACATGGCATAGTTTACACCCTAACATTCCAGGACAATTTCTTGCGTACAATGTGAAACAATTCTCTTAACATCAATTTGTGAATTTTTTTTTTGTCTTTTAAACAGAAGATGGTGTGGACAGTGAAATTGATGGTGACTCCAGAGGAGTGAATGAACCCCCTGTGAAAAGGGAGCGTGTGGAACTCAGCCATGCTCTTCAGGAGTTGGACAGCTCAGTACACCAGGAAATAATGAATTCTATGTAAATTGACTGAAATCTCTACAGGCTCCTGGTCTCTTCGGAATGAACCAGTTACTAGAGTTGGCTTTTAACCTCCTGATGTAGGTGTTGCTCACCTTGGTTGTGTGTATGAGGTGTCAACTTTGCTGGTTTGCTGTAGGCAGGAGCCCTACAGCTTTTCAGGATAGAACAGAAATTAAAGAGCTGAAGTAGTTGGTGTGGAAAGTTTGAGCCCTTTATTCCTTAGCTAAAGATGGCCGAGGATCACTATTTGGATTCAAAGCAAAACTATATTTATTATTGGCAAGAACCACTGAAAAACAGATGGAAGATTGGATTTGTATTGTTTTCTAGTGTATCTTAAATGCACAAGAAACAATATCTAAGGTGGAAAATCGGGTTAGAGAGGAAACTGTCAATGTTTGGGTTTTTTTTAATTAAAAGGTTTTCTAATGGTTTCCTACCTCTAGCTGCCCGTTGGTGTTGCTGTGTATTCACACTGTAGGGTCTGTGAGGGGATTGGGACTGCCTTGAAAAACACAATTTTGGCTGATTTATAAATAAGTGCTTCCTCTGCTCTTGTCCACAAGTACCCTGCTGGTCTCTGAGCAGCCAGAGCTGCTGACCTAACTTTCCCTCATAATGCTCACGTTGGACTGTGCTGGGGGAAAGATTCAGCGCCCATCCCATCTTCTCTCTGCTCATTAAAGCCCCCTTTCCTGGCTGCTCTTTCTGCTTAGTTGGACTCATCCCCTTGCAGTGTAACTGCGTAATCTGGCAAAGAACTGAGATAAGTAGGTCCCACAACTGCAGAGCAGCTCTCTTACCTGAAACCACATGGCAGCTTCCTATCGGGTTTTTTGATGCATTTACCAGGGAGTGTTCCATCGCATCATTTAAGCTGCTTGTGGATGGATTAGCAGCTGTCCATTCAAAATTTGTGATTGGTGAGTTGTGTGTGTGTGTGTGTGTGTGTGTGTGTGTGAACGAACACAAGCTGTGCCTTAGGTAAATACTGATGTTTTATAAACGTACCAGTGCCTGTAACTGTCTGACCAGAGACTGTGAACCTGAACTTTTAGAAACTGAAGTTTATATGTATTTTTGCTATTCTGATGGTTTCAAAGTAAATGACTCGCAATGTACAGAGTGACCTCTAGCTTTGTATCATATAGCACTCGTCTTAGTGTATTCAGTACAGCAGTCACTCATTTCTGAAAAATGCATAAACCAGCAGCAGAACCTCACCCCCCATCCCCCACTCCTGGCTCCCTCACCCCGACCCTCACGCCAAACCCTCACCCCGACCCTCACGCCAAACCCTCACCCCAACCCTGGACCCTCACCCTGGCCGATTAGACTAGAAGCTAAGCAGGGTGTGTACAGCTGCTGTTGGTCTTAATTGTGACTAGATTTCTCAGACAAACCTACTCTTAGTTGGGTGTGAAAACAAATAGTAACTGAAATAGAAATGACTTGTATGAAGGAAAGCTTAGAAGGTGAGAGTGAATAAAGGTCAAGCAATAAGGTTTGGGGTCTCCCCCCCCGCAATTTCACATTACGCTGCAAATTTATGAATCTTTTTACAACAACAACAAATTACATTTGTATAGCGCTTTTCCCAAACTTTCCCAAAGCGCTGGGACGTTTTAAGTGATAATTAATGAAATACTGAATTATTTTCGTTGCTATTACAAGCAGTTAATGGGTACTGAAGGATTTTGTTCACATCTCTGCTGAGCAAAAAGTAACAGTGAGTAGTGTCAGCTTTACCAGAACTATTACTCTATCTAGTAAGTTAAATATCATTAACTATATAACATCATGCAAACAAACTATAACATCATCAAAAAGGCAACTTCCCATAATTATGTTAAAAATCCAATCTTGTTACTTGATCTTGAAAATATACTGTTCACATTTGGTGTTGGTTCATCAGGCACGTCAAGAGTCTGGTCACTGAGCAGAAAAGTTCCCTCTGTTCCAGGTCCAACCTCAGCCCATAACGTCTCTCCTCCATTCTATCAGTTTTAACATTGTTCCTTAAAGCTTTCAACAGTTTGTTCAAATAACAGGAGTGATTTTCTGTGCGGCTTTGTCACTGATTATGATGTTAATGATAATTATATTCAACTGAATAAATCTTTCAACTTGATTTTAAATGCCATAAATTCAAACACCGCTCCATTGTTGGAAGCTTTTGCATAAACTCAGTGTTCGGGTGACGGCAACACCAGTCAATATATTTGGTGTTAATATATCATTCAGCTATTGTGACATAGAAAGAAGTTGATATTGTTTAAATGTGTCCGTGTTCACATAGCAACCTGCTGATTATATTCTAGTGAGGTATAAACCTGTCCTTCATATCACTCTCAGCCACAAACTGCTCAAGTGTTTCAACAGATCTTTGCCCCTGAAGCGAGAGTACCATTAGCAGCTTGTCAGGCTGATGAAATGCCCTCTTTGATTTTTATTCTTTTAAATGAGCTATGCAGATAATGTAATGATGATGTAATTTTTTTAGATTAATTTTTATTTTATAATATACCTGTGTTCTACCGAACAGCACAAAGGTTGAACTTTTCTATGTTTTGCTGGCCAAAAAATTCTGTTCATGCAATCCAGTGAGTGACACCCAGCCAAGCACGTTGACAAAGATCGAGACCCCAGATCTGTGCCTAAGAAAATAAGTAGAATCTTTTGAAATGCTAACCTGTGGGATGTTTATCTTAGTAAGATAATGGAGTGATATACTGAAGTGTGTAACATTGACCTTTCTGATTGTCGAGAAGCTGTGACTGGGAGTTGCTGCCTGGAGTGTTGAGGCTGTTGTTGCATTCGGTGTTAAGGTCTGTCCCATAGATGCTGCCTGACCTTCTGAGTGTTCTCAGCCACTTCTATTTTAATTTCAGATTTCTAGCATCTGCAGTATTTTGCCACGTGTACATTGTTGGACTTAGGGTTAGGGTAAACTGGAGTGTATGTAAACCTGGAGGTGGAGGTGAGGTTTACATACACTCAGTCAGTAATATCTTGCAAGCGAACCTTGAGTTGGGTGTTATAAAGTTCTTAGACAATGTGTCGTAAATAACTTTGCCTCCAGCTGTTTTGCTGATGGTATGGAATGGTTTGGGGGCAGTGTAATGGCTCGAGAAAATGTGCAGTTTGATTGTAACTTTCTGCTATGATTTTGTTTTGCTGAATTGATGGCCTTGTGGAACCAAATGCGGCTTTGAATGTGAGTAAGGTCAGAGAGTGTGATAGCTTCAAATTCATTGCAAGAATAAATGCATTTGTGAGATTACTCTCGCAGTTAGTTCATTTCCACAATTGAAACTTACCGAGGTTTCAGGTTTAATCGTTGTGAGATTGAGCCGTCTGGTGACTCAGATGAGAACTTTTAAAAGCATCTGTTGGGGTGATTGTACTTGTAACCATTATATCTCGGATTCAAAACTGCCGTAATGTACAGAGGTCTGTTCAGAGTATAACCCCCCAAGATAGAAGATGATAATGATAGACTTTAATAGCTTAATTCCCTGCTTCTATACGACTCTACACCCAAACCTGGGTTGGCTGGGAGGAGCGTTTTGCTGTCATTTGATGACTCCTGGGGCTGCCTTATGTAAATTAGTGAGTTAATGGATTTGGCCACTGATGTGACTCCTGCACTCCTCGTGCTCCCTGTGATGTGAATTTGAACTTTAACTTTCAGCCCAGAAGTAAATGCTGATGTGCAGAGCCTGGCTTTGTGGCCATCTTCCCATATATCTGCATCCAGGACAGGAAATGGACTTTGTTTTCCACAGTGTAGGTGGCTTCCTAAATTCATCATCTGATTTAGTATTAATGTGACTCTTATTGAGCTTCAAAATGTTTTGGCAAAAAAAAACATTGAGATGTTACTTGGATGAAAAAAAGTGGATTGTGCCTGGACAGTAGAGCAAGTAGCTCCTGTGTCTGAGGTCTTTGTGTCGAAGACTCTGCAGAGTTCATGGAGTAACATTTTTTGATCCATTTTGATGCTGGAGTTTGGATTTTGCACATTGCCACATGAAATTCAAACTCTTGAGTAAAAAGACCCCAATATTTTAATATCATGTGATCAGACAGCTCGTATTTTGTTAACTGGTCAAACTCAATTCCTGGATTTTTAAAATAAAATTCTCACTGAGGAGTTTGAGATAATTTACAATGTACAGGTTTTCAGTTTGGAAGTTTGTATGTTTATATGTATATATGCCTAGGACACTGGTTCAACTTTCATTTTTTCCCTTCATTCTTAATAAACTGTAGTCTATAAATACGGAATGACCTTAATGGTTATGACTTACAAAATGAAATGTGTTTATCTCTGTAATTTGTATATAAATGGATGTAAAAATGAAATTCTTTAACATTTCCAGTCTTGTGATTTTCTTCCTGATACCCATCGGTGATTTTCTTCAAAGAATTGTATATATTGTGATGAAATATTACTAAACTTATTGTATCCTTTGTAATTTTCCCAGATTAAGCTACATCTGATATTAATGAATGCATTTGATGTAACAATAACTACAAACTGGTTTAGCCTTGCTGTCAGTCAGTCACACTCCCACTTTGTAGGTGTCATCCTCTGTTTGAGACTTTAAACTGAGGCTCTTGTCTCTTTGTTCAGGTGGATGTTAAACATGATTATTATTATTATTATTAGCTGTGATACTGTTGGAAAAGAGAAGGCAATACCTCCTGGCCAACAATCTTCCAGTTAAATTGGTCATTCACATAATGGCTGTTTATTGGACATTGCTGTGCACAAATTGGCTGCAGCATTCACCTATTTAACCAGTCACTATACCTGACCAGCAGTTTTCTGTGAATCACTTTTGACTTTTTGACGTTTGATATGTACTATATTAATTACAAGGATTGTTATTTTTTCTCAGCTTGTGCTGAGTTAAACTCATAACTAAATTCCCTGCCCTGTAAGTAGGGAATTTCTTTAGCTAGTGTGAACAAAACATGATTGTATCTCTCCTTTTACAACCCCTGATGATGCTTCGACACCCGAAAACATTTTAAGTTGGTTTCATCCAATAACAGAGGAGTTGCTGTTATTTGGGACTGAATGACCTATGCACTTTGAGGCTGAATCCTCAGCCCATTCTACCAACTACAGTGATGGTTCATTGCTGAGGCGGAGCTCCCTCCTGCTCCAGTCCACACGGCCCCTTTAAACAAAAGGTAAAATATTCGCACTCTGACCTCTCCATCCACGGTCTCCTACGCTGTTCCAATGAGCCACAGCGCAAGCTCAAGGAACAGCACCTCATTGATCTGCTCGGGACCTTACAGCCCTCGGGCCTCAATATTGATTTCAACAATTTCAGACCATAACAGCTCACCTTCCCCCTCCCCCTCTTCCATGACCATCACCACATCATCTGGGTCCCAGACACACCATTCCTCTCTCTGGTCGGCCTATTTTGTTGCACTTCCTCCCCCCTCCCACCCTTTGTTTTGCATCATTAACACCTCTTTAACCCATCATCCCCTGTCCTCTACCCCAATTTCTCCTTTTTCTTGCCCTGCCTCCCCCCTCTTTGTCAGCCCTTAAAAGTCTCTCCCTCCCAACATGTCCAGTTCTGACAAAGGGTCATTGACCCAAAATGTTGATGCACTTTTTCCATAGATGCTGCCTGACCTGAGTTTTCCCAGCCACTTCTATTTTTATTTTAGGCCCTTTAAACCTTTATTATTATTATTAATTATAAGTTCCTCCAACTTTTGTTGGTGAGACGGAAGCTGTCTGAGCTCTGAGAAGTAATACAAGCTACTTGGGGAGTAATTATTAGGTTAAGTGCATCAACTAGTTTGTATTCAAATTGAACTCTAAATTGAATAAAAATTTAGACCAGCAATGGCAGACATTCAAGGAGATAGTGCAAAATTCCCAATGAGCACATATTCCTTTGAGGAATAAGAATGCCATTGGGAAAGGTGGTGCAGCCGTGGCTAACGAGAGCAGTTAGGGACAGTATCAAATCAAAAGAAAAAGCCTATAAAACAGCGAAGATGAGTAGTAAACCCGAGGATTGGGAGAACTTTAGGGAACAACAGAGGAGGACCAAAAAATTGATCAAGAGGGAGAAAATAGATTACGAGGGCAAACGAGCAAAGAACATAAAAACAGACTCCAAGAGTTTTTACAAATATATGAAGAGGAAAAGGCTAGTGAGGGTGAATGAGACCAGAGGAATTATAATAGGGGACAAAGACATGGCAGAGTCATTAAACAAGTATTTTTCT